CCAGCCAGCTTTCATGCCTAAGGTGGGACTAGAACTCACTGTCTCCTGGTGATTGGCCCAAAGTCACCCAGAGGGCTTTCATGCCTAAAGTGGGACTAGAACTCTCAGTCCCCTAGCTTTCTAGGCTGATTTTTTTACCACTAGACCAAACTGGCTCTAACCAAATTTAAAGCCAATTTTAAACCAAATGAACTGAGCTCTTGAGTTCTCTCCATTTAGGACAACCAGCCTTCCAGTATTCCGTATTTGAGAAACGGCTGATGGGCAAATAATAACAATAATGAACGCCTGTGTTTTGGAAAAACAAAAACCCAGATCCCACAAAACAGGTAAACCTCCTCCGTGAAATGAATTACATAACGAATCAACAACACTCCCCGAAAAATGGAAGCAGGGACAAAGCACTGTCTGTCTTCCTATTTATAGAAGGTTATCTGTTCTCCCCCAAAGGGATTCTTATTTAACACAGGAGACCAGCTCCAGGGCTGTTGATAAGCCTAAAATAACCAAGTAAGGGACGTGTTGAAACCGCCTTCTCTCCTGGAGGCGGAAGATAACACTGGGATTCTCTGGCCATGACTGTTTTAAAAAGTTTAGCGTTAACCTGCTGTGGAAGACAATTGGTTTGGTGCCCAGATGGTAATAAGGAGAGCCAGACTTTAAAAAGGAACTGGAAGAGGTTTGAGACATACTCGAAGAATAATCCTAGAGTGGGACCCTTTTTAGGATGAATCACATGGTGGGTGGGAATCCCAAATTTCCTTAGCTCTGGTACTGCTTGTCGGGTTTTTTTTTCCTTTTTGTCTTTACCAAAGACAGACTTTAAGTCAGTGGTCACCAACCAGTAGGCCAGGGACCACTGGTGGTCCACGAGAAAATGGTGGTCCGCAGAGAAATGTCAACCCCCAAAGCAATTAATCCAGGCTGTCCCGGAACACAAGGTTTGCGTCACTTGCATTGTGAGAACAACGCGTAGTGGGGGGAGGAGGGAAAGCGCAGAGAGGGGGAACTTGCCCCACACACCACACCTGGCCACCAGGCTGCTTTCTGCTTCTTTCCGCTTCTACTTTTGGCTGCACGCAAGGAAAGCAGCGGAAGTCTTTCTTTCTCTCCCCCAAACTCCGCCAGAAATGAGTCTTTGGGACCCTGCAAGGCTTCCTTGCTCCAAGAGGCTGCACCAGCAAAGACTCCTTTCTGGAGGAGTTTGGGGGAGAGAAAGAAAGACTTCTTCTGCTTGTGCTGCTTTCCTTGCATGAAGCCAAAAGTCTCTTTCTCCCCTCCCCAGAGAACAGAGCTGGAGATGGTATCCTGTAATCCCAAATAAAGAATGATCAATGG